GTTTAAGATGACTACGGTTCTTTCCTTCATCTGTCTCATCCATTCTCGTTGTTATACCTTCAATGGATAAGCTCAATCTGTTATACATGTCATTGATGCTAGCCTCCATGAGTTCTTTCGAGGTCATAGATCAGTTGGTTTCACTAAGCTGTGACATATCTGCAAAAGATGTTAATAAAACAAAGAAATCACTCCATCTCAATCACTCGTGTTTATCTCTCATGTCTTCTCCTGTCAAGTTGAGTGTTGGAATTTGATCTCTTGAATCAAGACAAGTAAGGTTGTCTTTTAAGACTTTGCAAAGAATCTTAAAAAATGATCTTGTTCTTTAAAATTTCAGAAGTAAGCACACAGAAGAAGAATTTGTGATGCGTTTATGGTTATAGCTAAGTAATTAGGATGCAATTAACAACTTAGATGTATAATAGAACTGAAGCATTTAAGAAAGAATGAAAATAGGAGTAGAAAAAGACAATTATGGACTTAAAGCTTAAGATCCGATTAATCCCTGTGGATATAATCGAAATGTTATACCTAATTATTCTACCCCAATGACGGCTGCGCTCTATGACTCACTTGAGTTTCTGCGATGCAAATGCTAATGCAAAATATTGAATGTAGTATTGAAAAAAAACCCAAGGAGTTACACACCTCTCATCTTTTTTTTGCTCTCTGTTTGTTTTTTCACATATTCTGTTTTTTTTTTTCCAGAATCTCTCTTCTTTTAATTATAATAACACCATAAAAAATGTAATACTCCTAATTAATTTTAATATAATTAAAATTAATGTATAATAATTTTTTAATTTTTAATTTAATGTGAAAATGAAGAAAAATAGGTGGAAGATAAAATTGAAAATAATTTTGGAGAAAAAGGGTGAAAATTTGGGTTCTGGGGGTGTTTTTGAACGAAAAATCATAAATTAGAGGTCAAAATACAATTTAAAAAAATTGTGCCACATAAGACGCCCAGTTAGCAGTCCTGACGAATCGGAGCACGCCATGTGGTAAGGCACGCTAACATGATGTCACATGGGAGGCCACACTTGCAATCTGCGTGCCCGTGACCGGACGATCCAGATTTGTTCCTGTGCGCACGGAGGGCTCGGATATGTTCCCCTTTCAGTCCAAATCAAATGCGATGGACGGCTCAAATTAAAAGGAGACAGATATAAATAACCATCTTCACACCAAACTTTAACTCTAGCCGCCAGACCCCCCCTCCTTCGCCCCCCCCCCCCCCTCCCCGCGCGCGCGGAGAAGAAGAGCTAGTCGTTGGGAAGGGAGTCGACCACCACCTGCTGTTGCACCGGAGCAACTTCCTACTGCCAAAAGAGGTAAAATTTTTCTCCACTTGAAATTCAATTTTGAACACCCTCATGGCCAAATTGAAGTAAAAGGACCGACGAATGAGCAAAAAATTGCGGGCAAAGCCCAGCAGCGCTGCCGTGAGAAAAAACAAAAACTGTATTTGATGAGGCTCTTCTCGATTCCCGTTTCGTGTAATTTTTCACTATTGTAATCACCATTCCTTTCTCTACAGTTTGACCGTAGCAAAACACCCAACCACGAAGGTGAGCCGCCGCACTGAAAAATTCTGCTGTCGGTAAGTTTCGGTTTTTCGATTTTTTTTTACCAACCGAGGCTCCTTAACGTGTTTTCTCACAGGGATGTGTAAAAAACTGGCTGAAAACATCCAACCCGAGGCAAACTGCCACCGTGGGCGGTGGTGCCATCACCGGAGAACGACGGAGCTGTCGTGCCGGAATTCTAGAATTGGCCAAAAAGGATTTCTAACACTGATTTTGGATTTTTTGGTGTATTTCTAGCTACTTGAAGCGTGTTTTAATACTTGAAGAAAAACTTAAGGAATCCGGGAACCGCTAGTAGATGCAGCTGAAAGTTTAACATTTCGGACATCAATTTGAGTAAGAATCTCTCACATTATTTTTTGTTATGGAATTAAGGTTTAATTATAAATAATGTGATCTTTTGTACAAATTAAAAAATATTCATAATTAATTACAGATTACTAATGGAGTCAGAACCGGTTATTTATTTGCCATATTTAATTAATTGATTGATTTTATAGTTTGAATGCATGATAATACACTAGAATTGGTATGATAACCAAATTGTGTTTCCTTGATGCATGTATTCCATGTTTTATGTGATTTACAGTTAAAATTAGAAAATTGAAAATTAAAGGTAAACGAGAGATTGTTTGATTAAGTGAAATGATGAATGGTAGCCTTACTGGATATCCTGGGAGATGATGGACGGACCGAGTACATAGGGAGCCCTACCATGAACGTTGTCTCATACCGGATGGGGTATCGAGGATTGGTAATTTGGCACTCATACCGGACGAAGTATGGGAACGATTCATTTCACCTTCATGCCGGACGGGATATTGTGGGATGATATTTTGGTGCTCATATCGGACGAGATATGAGGACGACCTGTTAATTAAAAATGTTAAAAAATAGTTCACGTGTGTGGAGACATCCCTATGGATCCCATAGATACTAGTAGGCTGATAAAATAGAAAGTTGTTGTTGTCGATTGATTGCATATGAGATTATTATATTGTTTATGTTATTGACTTTATAGGTTGGTTTTGAAAATTTCGCTACGATAAGTATGCAGTAAATGATTTTGTTTATTATGAACTAATTTACTTAAATTAAGAGCTCTATTAGTTGTTTTCATGATTTTTACCAACTTTTATTTCTGTGTCGGTGAATAGCGTGATATTCTTACTGGGTTAGTGTAGCTCACTCTTACATTAACCATTTCAAATCAAGAGAACCAAGATCTAAAATTCGATCCACAACAGGGTTGTGAGTAGGATGCCCAGTTGTTTATTTTGCATTTATTTCTTTGATTTTTCATTACTTCTTTTAAATGGTTATTCCCATAGCCTTATTGGGTAATTTGAATTATTATGTAAGGAATATAAACCCTAACTATTTATTTTGCTTCCGCATTCAATTCATAATTTATTTCTTTTCAAGTTCACAGGCCGTTACAAAAAAATTATTAGAAACAAACTAAATGAATTAACACTTTATGTAACAAGTGCTAATTTTACGTAAGAAATAAATGTAAATAGTAAATAACAAAGATAGTAGATTTACTAGAGCCTATACTGTTATACCAACTGATGCAGAATCTGAGATCAAGAATGAAATCCAAAACCCCGCATATACATCAGCAATCAGAAACTCAATACCCTAAATAAACCCTCCCTACTTGACCTGCACTCAACAGAAAAGTAAAAACCAAGATAATTGGAAAAAAAAATAAAGAAATATAATTGAGAAGATACCACGAAACTTATCTCAATAAGTGATCCCAATTCCTAGCACAACAAGTTGGTTGAAAACCCAATTACTCACTCTTGCAACTTTGAAAGCTTAAAACAAGAATACTTGAATTTTGTTAATAAGCTAAATATTCTGATTGAATATGAACTCTAAATTGAATGTCTATTTATATTGTACGCTATGTGAATAATAAGGAAAAAATAATCTCCTAATTAATAATAGAAATTATATAGGAAATTAAATTTGTACTAAAATGAAAAGCGAGCAAGAATTAAGAAAATTACAACTAAAATAACATAGATATGATTTTTCTATGAGGAAATTTTTTTAAATAGGGAATATCTTAATTAATTGTGGCTAATTTAGGGGAAGAGATTATGCTAAAATATTTTCCTCTTTCTTAAGTATTTTTCTTTTCCACGAGATCTAACATTTAATGAACTTTTCTATTTCTCAAGATAGCTTGCAATTTATGAACAATTTTTCCTCTTTCCTGATCTTTAATTGTGAAGATTTCTCATATGATTAGGAAATAAAATTTTATGAGAATTTTTTCTTTTCATGTCTTACAGAATTTTTTCCATTTCTTGTTTATTTTCCTCTTGCACTTTGGGTGAATATAATATACTATTATACCATTGGGTTAATGGTCATGTTGTTATCTTTTCTTGGACTTCTTTAATGAGTCCAATCCCATCTTTTTTATTGATCCACGTTTGGATAAAAAGTTAGAAAACTTCTTGTAATCTTTTACCTCTCCCCCTTGTAATGGGCCCACTTGACATTAAAATATACTCTCCACCAACTTGACCCATGTCCATGTTCACATCATAAAGCCTTTGACTTTCGGCGGGATTTTTCTTTTTATTTTTTTTTTGAAAAAATTTAATAGAACTTAAACGAAGTTATTTTCTCCAACTCTATTTTTTACAAAAATTTTATTGTTGCTTATTATTTATATTTTTTAGTTGTTATTATAGAATTGAAAATAATAGCTTGATTTTCATTAAATAAAAGTGAGGTATATATACATTTACAATCTTAATTAACAGTTAATCAAATATTTTAATTCTAATATCATTAGATACTGCGTAAGGAATGTGAAGTGAAAGATTATTTAAGTCTGCGGTGACATGGTGCGACGCCCCACCTCAAATAGCCATGTTGGGGTGTTGGTGGTCTTAAGAGATGTGAGTTTAACACCAGTAGTGCATCTTATATATCATAATTAGAATATTATATTATCATTAATATAAGAAATTATGTAGATTTTACTTAATAATTAATCTTAAAATTATAGAAAATATTAAATTGAGTACAAATAACTGTTGTTATAATACAGGATGTAAGATTTCAATTCTATAATTTATTTCGAGTTCAATAACAAGAGTAATTAATTTGACTCAATTTAATTAAATTTAATTCTAAAAAATTAAAAGGGTTCAAATTTTTCGAGTGAATCACAGTGTATCACAAATTTATCAGCAATGAATTTATGATTCAATTTGATTCCCACTATTCACTAAATTCTATTAAGAAAACTAAATCAAATAATATATTAGATACTACATTTATTTACTACTTCCAATTTTAATAGTGATAAAAGACAATTGTCTTTTTATATTAGCTTGAAAAATAAAAAAATGTTAATACAATATTATCAAACATATATTTACAATCTACTTTTAGAATAGATATATTTTAATGGATAATATTAGTATAAATTTCTTAAAATAACCTGAAATACATTCATGTATCTACCACTCCTAGTTATTACACAGAGAGGAGGTGGGATACAGAGGGAATAGAAGTGGATAGAGGAAGGGTAAAGTCTCCGTCTCCACTGACGGGCAGGTCAACGGTCAGACCCAAGTTTACCTCGTAGTCAAACTTGTGATGCGTGCGCCGGTAATCAGTCCTGCGACCATTATTTATTAATTTATCATTTTTCTAAATAATATTTATTAATCTATCCTATATAATGTTCTTTTTCATAATAAATAATAACAATTATTAAATAATTTAGAACTATAAATGAGTTAAGTAATTGGTGCAATTCTTAAAACTTTATTTTTATAATTTTTTAATAAAATTTAAAATAAACTAATTATAATTATAAGAAGTGTCAATTTATATTCAACTCCTATAAATCCCTTCTGTAAATTGCTAAGCTAATGGAAATATAATCTTTTGAGATTTAATGGTGTAATAACTTGTTTAAATGTGAAAAAAATAAATACATAGATAGATTATGTTTAACTCAATTATCCTATAATTAAGCAATAGATGCACCATGCATTTAAACATATGAAAATAAGATTGAGTTGGCATATATATATATAAGCTATATAGTAACTCAATTATCCTATAATTAAGCAATAGATGCACCATTCATTTAAACATATGAAAATAAGATTGAGTTGGCATATATATAAGCTATATAGATATATAGTTATATATGTATACCTGGGTTGAGGACTCTTCTTGACTGCCTTCGGTAGAATCTTCAGTAGGAGGAGCCGAGGAGAATGGAAGGGGGAGTTTGATCTCGCCCGACTTAGATAAAGGAATTGTAATATGATCAATGATAGGGACATGAAATGTTAGATTTACATGAATTTCATAGTCAACATCTCCATCTGAACCAACATCCTTTACGATGCTAATTACTATATTATATGGCACCTTCAGTATGAATTCCATATTCGTTTTATCGGTTGCGTCTAATGATTCAGAATTTACTTCTCCCGCTGAAACTTCTCTGTATTTATATAAAATATAATTATTTATGCATAAAAATGTTTTTTACAATCAATATAAGTTAGGTTTATGAGAATTGTTATTAATGTAATGTTACTAGAATGAGTTTTTTTTTTTTTTTTTTTTTTTTTCAATTAACTAATTTTCAAACGATTTTCATATTATAACAATAATATATAAGTATATTGAATGAGATATGTTTTTAAATAAATTAGATAACATATATATATATATATATATATATCATGAGAGAGAATTTCGATTCAAACCTGCCACCCATTTTGAAGTTGTAGGAGATATTTGGAATGGGGAGATGGTTTAATATACGATTTTTGATAGAGATACGTACTGCAAATTCAATATAATGAAGATGCACACTCTTCACTCCAATACCAGTGAGATGAATATTTACTTTTGTTAAGGACTTTACCGTATCAGTCACACATGTCTTTAAATGTCCTATAACTTGTGAGCACCCCATTCGCCCTGCATTGTGGGCAAGATTTGTAATACAATCTACACACATTTGAACACCGATCTAGAACCGGACTTCAATAACTAAAATTAGAAAAATGTTTTGGGGGCTTACATTCTCACATAAAGATATAGATATATATATACACACACACACACACACACACACACACACAGTCATAACATAATATGGAGAAAATGAAGTACAAATTAATAGTGCTGGAAATTATATCTTGATACATAAATATAATGATAGTTGCATAAGGTGACACTTTTTAATAGTTACGAGGAAATTTTATTCAAGTAACATTATTAAGATTGTGTGAAGATCACAAAAATTTTATATTATATTCAAATTTTTATAAAAGAATACAGCAGAGCAAAACGAATAGTAGCCAATTAATTTTTGTTTTGCCAATAATGACAAGTTAAATAATAATGAAAAATGCTTTTTTTTTTTCTTTTTCATTAAAGTAAGGTTTTCGATTATTTTCTTTTCTTTCTTCATATTCCTTCTTATTTTACAATTTTAAGTTGTTAGTATACAATTTTTTAATATATATTTGATTGATTAATTTATGTATATATATCCATTGCAATAAAAATATTTTACAAATAATAAATATTAATACACAGTTCGTTCGGATTTATATATACAAATATATAAGAGAAAATATGAATTTAGCCAAATAGTACTATTGCATAACATTGGGAATGCCCACAATACCCCTTGTAAAAAAACACGATTCTTCGTGATCCGGTAAAAGAGAAACTCTTTTTTGTAAAAAATATGACTCTTGGTGTGCATATAAAGTAGAAAAAATTACTTATCTCAATTAAGGAAGAAGATAATACCAAAAAAAAAATAATATATTATCATTCTCTCTCTTACATTGAGTTAAACCATGAACTACTTGAATTTTAAGATGTGAAAATTATTCGAAACTCTACTAACATCTGAGAGAAAACATAGGCAATCAAGAGCATCAACAATTAAGGATCATTCTCCAATAACAGAAAAACAAGCATCTTATCTTATTGTTTTCACATTAAGGTTAATTTTAATTTTCTAACAGTAGTATTAGAACCTATTTGTTTGCATTTGACCTTGTATAAATTATATTTCAATCTGGATTAAACTCACTTTTTTTATAATGAATATAGATAACATGGAATGACAACCTACATCCTTAACCGTGTACCAAGTAAAAGTATATCAGTCACTCCCTGAGTTATGGAATGACAAAATGCCCATTTTAAATCATTTACATCATTGGGGGTCGGCACGCTATGTGCATAACACAACCCACAAGCACAAAAAACTATGACCAAGAACAATTAAGATGGTGTTCATAAGATATCTTGAACATTCAAAAGATATGTGATGTCTGAAAACACCTGAATGGCGGCATGACCGAATGATTCCCGCAATGTTGATTTTCTTGA